CTTCCCCACAATACTTGCCCTGTTGTTTTGTGAGGTCCCCTTATCTGTTTTTGGTACCAGTACCATGCTGTTTTGGTTACTGTAGCCTTGTAGTATAGTTTGAAGTCAGGTAGCATGATGCCTCCAGCTTTGCTCTTTTGGCTTAGGATTGTCTTGGCAAGACTACCTCTTTTCAAAAAAGATATCTGTTGTTCACAAAAAAGTGTTAAATTGTACATGTGCAAGATGTACAAAAGTAGTCTATAGAACTCAACTCATTGCCTCCTAGAAATTCCATAAAACAACTCATTAAGGCATGGGAAAAACAGGGGAGGCATAAAAAGTGGAAACATTAATATATGCATGGGTACAACCAATAGAGCAGTTACATGATATACAAAGAATAAGCACATTTTTAGAGTGAAAGTGTTACCAGATTGGAAGTTGGAGTTCCAGGTTCTTGGTGTTGCAAACAAAGAATTGGAGGAGACACACAAATAATGACACCACAAGATTTATTCAGCAAAGAATGTTCCAGAGAGAGGAACAGGCTGATCTGCGAGTGGTATCAGCCCTGGGTTAACACAGCCTTTGTTCTTTTATACCCCCTTACTACTCTTGCTTAACTTTTAGGGAGGAGGTTGCCTATAATTGACATATCAGTTTTCTTGTTGTTTTTCTCTCTCAGTGTGCCTGTGTGTGCTTGCCATTCCATAATTTTAAGCATATGTATGATATGCATTCCATATGTATGGGCTTTAAGTAACTTATTATAATAAAAGGTTATCCTGAGGACACATTTTGCCCCTAAAGCGCATGCTCTTCTTTCAGTGACTCTCCTGTTCCAGTTTATACCAGATTTGTTTACTGCAGAAAGCACTGGTTCATTGCTTCAGCTTCCTTATCAGATGGTGCCTTATGCTTGTTTTGCTGAGAACGGGCTGCTGGTTGATTTTCTGACTTCCTTCCCTATTCTCCTGCCTCAGTTCCCTCTGAGAGATGTGATCCCCATAAATCTCTATAGCTTGCTGAGGGTCGAAGTTCTTTCTTCTATAGCTGCTTCTGGCTGAGTAGGACTGTTGACCCTACCTAACGGGGGACCACAGAACTCTCATCCTGCTCTATCCAGGGGGAAATTATGAAGTCTGGACTTATTTCTTGTATGATGATATATGGGGCTTCAGGCAATACAGCCATTTGTAGCTTGGTAGACTCTAAACAGGAAGAAATAAATCTGGTTAGCAAATTTACAGTGTAAGGGCCAAAAATGAACAACAGAAGAATTACAGTTAAGGTCCTGTAAAAGGGGCTATCCAACTTTTTGCAGTTATTTAAACAGAATTTAGGGTGTTGTGTGCAGGTCTTAAATTGGTTACATTAATTGCCTTAGTCAGATGTCCCAGTACCTTGCCTGAGGAGTTAATATAGAAACAACATTCTTCTTTTCGAAAAACGCATCCCTTCCGATTAGCTGCGAGGAGATCTAGCCCCCTCCTGTTTTGTAAGACAATGCCTGCCAGGGAATCTATATGTCGTTGTTCTTGGATAGCTGCTATAATTTCTGCCAAAGCCTGTGTTTGTTGTGAAGACAAGTGAAGAGAAATGGGCCCAAGTGTGGTTCCTAAAAGTCCTGTTACTGCAGTTGCTAAAGGATGTAATACCACTGGAGCTGCCCTTTTTACAAATGCATGGCTGTGTCTTATATGTACTAGCATTTGCATAAAACAGTCTTGAAAGTAAAGCAGCGATGCCGCAAGTCCCTTTCCATTGACTCGGAAGACTCATGTACCCTGAATTTCCACATACGAAATACAACCCTTGCCCAGGGTCCAAAGATACTTCATATCCCCGTGATGCTAGTTCCAAAGGTGTGTCTGAGCCACTAGAGGAAGTTCCAGTGAGTTGTTCCCATAAAAATATTCCAGCCACAGCAAGTTGTTCATTAAGCCTAGAGTGGAAAAATAAGCTGGGGTGGAATTTTACGAATGATCTTTGGACCCCCCAAGCCAAAGCTTGAGCTAGAGGCAAAGATGAATTGTTGATTAACACTGTGGTCCAACCAGTGGAAATACTGGAAGTATTGGTATTACTTGTATATTGAGGTCACCTTGGATCAGGATACTTAAGGAGGAGGAATTGGTTTTGTTTTCCTGGTTTGCGATATGAATTGATTTTTGTTTCTGAGGAATTATAATGTTTGTCTTGATTTGTCCAACTGAGGACAACCTCATATAAACAATTGTTTAGGGATCCCAGAAAGGTCCCATTCATTCGGTGGGAAGTGAAACAAATTGGGAATTGGCTCTCTGAGGTCAGGTTGTGAAAAACCCTTACAGGATTTGGGGCATTTGTAAAATTTAAATTTGGCTTGTTTCTTATAATCTGAGATAAGACTGTTAGGAATAAGCTTTCCACAGCTGGACTGGGATATGTAGCTTCTGACTGGGTGGCAACAGTGACTCTTGCATTGACCTTGACTATATCTTCTAACGGTAAAGGTAAAACTTCAGCTGATAGTGAGCCTGAGGTACAAATGTAACAGGAAGTTAAGTTAGTGTGGCTAACCGTTGAATCTGTTTAAACACTTGGTATTGAGGCTGGACCCCCAATATTGGTGAAAATAGGATTATGGACATAAAAAGTGGTTCCCTTGTGGGGGAAGCAAGCAGTTAAATGACAAATATATATAAATAACTAGGATTACTTATCCCACAGTAACTATGTAACACAGACACCAGCAAAGTCAGTAGGAATTTACTTACCTTTTGGATGCCCTTTAAACAGGTACTTCGGATCCTCCACAGGTTCCCAGGGTAGCGATTGATGGGAGCTTCAGGTTCTAGGTCTGGAGCTTTAGGTATTGCAGGTTGGAAAGCCTGGAAAGATGTATTCAACTATTTAATCCTAACACATTAATTGCAGAGGGTGTGGTTATTATAACTGAAAAAGGTCCCTTCCATTGGGTTGTAGCTGTTGAGTGGGTGACCCCTCTTTAAGTATTCTATCTCCTGACCTAATCTTGGGTTGCTGGTTAGTTCCTGGTATGGGAAGCCTTTCAGTCCAGAACCTTTGTAATGCTTGTTGAAATTATCCCAGATTAATTAGGTATTTTATTAGCCCAACTGTTTCTGGATTAGTTATTAGATCATTACTTAAGAAGGGTCTCCCATACAGCATTTCCTATTGGCTCATCTTTACTTTTGCCCTTGGGGAGTTATGGAATCTCAAAAGGGGTATGGGTAGTAAACTGACCAAAGTTTCTGACATTTCCTGGCATAGCTTAGGTAGTGCCCATTTTAAAGTTTGATGGGCACTATCAAACTCCAGGAAACCTCCAGGAAAGTAGAAACCTCCAGGAGAACTTTCTACTTTCCTGGAGGATTGAGGTCTCCATGCTGAACGCAAATAGTATTTAATTCTGAACACTTTAGCCACCCCTTGAGTTATCTGGGAGGCAAAGGATGGGCCGTTATCACTTTGGAGGCTTCGGGATAACTCAAACTGTGGAATTATTTATTTTAAGAGGACTTTTACAATTTCATTAGCCTTTTCTGTTCTAGTACGGTAAGCTTCAACCTAGCCTGTAAAGGTATCTATCAGTATTAGCAAAAAACTTGTATCATCTGCAAGCAGGCTCATGGGTAAAGTCCAGATGCCAGTCTTCCCCAGGGTAAGTTCCCCTTCTTTGGACTGGTTCCATTAGTAGAGGCATTTTGTTTCCTGGGTTGTTAAATGCACACAGTAAGCAGTCTTGACAGACCTGCTTAACTACTGAGGCTAAGTTAGACCCAATAAAGACCCTGTTTGCCATGGCCAGCATGGCATCTCTCCCCATCTGGAAAGAGTTGTGCAGGATTTCTAATAACCTTCCATTGGGCTGTTTAAGGGATATGTATTTTTGATCCCATATACCACCAAGGTCCTTGTTTCTGTCCCCCTTGCTCCCTTATAACCCATTCCTCCTATGATGTGTATTCAGGTTCTACTCAGGAATCACAGAAGGGAAGCAATGCTAAGATTTTTTGAGATTGCACCTTGAGGTCCGCTGCTTTTGCTTGCCTGTCCACCTTTTGTTCCCTTGTGCTGTAGGAGCTAAGGCCTTTTGATATCCTCTGCAAGGGATTATAGCCATGGCTTTTGGCAAATGTATTGCCTCCAACAACTGGAGAATTTCAGGCCCATGCTCCGTGGGTGAGTGGTTCCTAGTTAGTAGTCCTTTTTCTTTCCAAATCGCAGCATGAGCCTTAACCACAAGAAATGCGTATTTGGAGTCTGTATAGATATTCTGCTTTTTTCCTTTCCCCAATATCAGGACTCAGATAAGAGCAATTATTTCAGCTTTTTGTGCTGACATGCCCTGGGGACAGCAGTTGGACTTCAGTGATGGTGTTGTCATTTACTATTGTATATCCAGCCTGGCATTTCCCATTTGACACAAAACTGCTGCCATCTGTGAACCAGTCATCCTCTGAGTCTGGGAGTGGCCAATCTTTTAAATCAGGTCGGCTTAAATATGTATGTGTGATGACCTGCTCACATGAATGACCAATTATTGGGCCTGTGGGCAGCAATGGAGCTGGATTCAGAGTATTACACGTTTTAAGAATTACTTCTGGATTGTCTAGGAGTATAGCCTGGTACTTGGTTAACCTTTTCCTCATTATCCAAATATACCCTTTTATTTCCAAGACTGACTTCACCTGATGTGATGTTAAAACTTCCAGTGGTTGACCTAGGGTGATTTTAGTGTCTTCTTCCACTAAAATAGCAGTAACTGTTATTGCTTACAGGCAGCTTGGCCACCCAAAGGTCACATGTTCAATTTCTTGGAAAAATAGGCAGTTGGTCTGGTTCTGAACCCAATTTTTGGGTTAGCACACCTATAGCTGTGCCCTTCTTTTCTGCCCTTCTTTTCTGCTACATACAAGGAAAAGGGCTTAGTGAGGTTTGGGATGCCAAGAATGGGGGCTTGACCAAATGCCTGTTTTAACTTGACAAAGGCTTTCCTCACTTCTGAAGCCCATCCATTCTACTAACTCATTTTATGGCCCCCTTGTTGCTTCATAAAGGGGTTTTGCTCTGAGCCCAAAAATTGATACCCATATCCTGCAGAATCCCACCATTCCTAAAAGGGAAAGAGCTGTTGTTTGGTATAAGGGGGTCCAGACTGCATATGACTTATAGCTGTTCTGGGGATATCCGCTGGGCCCAAGGGTTTAGCATATAACCCATATACTGGACTTGTTGGAGGGTGATTTCAACTTTTTTCTTTGACATTTTGTATCCCCTGTCTGCCAGGAAATTCAAAACTTTTACAGTATTTTAGTCAGATGCTTCCTGGGTTGGGCTACACACAAGAAGGTCATCTATATATTGAAGTATGTTTCCATTTTCCAATAATAAATCTCTTAGATCCCTTTACAGGGTTTGAGCAAAGAAATGGGTGCTATCCCAAAAGCCCTGAGGAAGCACTGTCCAAGTGTATTGTTTTTCTTTGGTATCTGGATTTTGCCATTCAAAGGCAAAAAGATGTTGAGACTCTGGGGCCAGAGGAATGGAAAAGCAAGCATCTTTCAGTTTTAGGACCAAGAACCATTTTGCATCCCGTGGCACCTGAGCCGAGACCGTGTATGGATCTGCCACCAATGGATGGATAGGGATAACAGCTTCATTGATTATTCTGAGATCTTGTACTAGCTGATATTCCCCTGAAGTTTTTAAGATGGATAAAATGGGAGTATTACAAGGTGAATTTGCAAGGCTTTAAAAGTTCATGAGTTAGCAATTCCCGAATTATGGGCCTCCAGCTTGATTGGATATGACTTTTGGTTGGGAAAATAGCTGGAGTCTTTTAAAGCTGTATTTTGACTGGCTTTGCCATTTTGGTGTTCCCTGGTTTCCCAGTACACCAAGCTAGTAGGTTGACCTGTTTGTTAATGGGGTCTAGGACACTGTTTATTTCCCCAACCGTCATCAGTCCTGCTGGGCAGTGTTTATATTGTAGTAATTCACCTGTTTTAACCATGATATCTGCCCCCAACAAGAGGTCTGGGCAGCTTGATATTACTAGAAACTCCTATTGGAAAATTTGCTTCTCAAATTGACAAGTTAAAGGAGGAGCAAAGCATCTCATTTTTGGCTTCCCCTCCATTCCCATAACATTCATGGACTGGGAGGAAAGTTTTCCTGCATAAGCAGTAAGGACAGAGTAATTTGCCTCTGTATCAAAAAGAAACTAAATTTGGGTGCCCATGATGTCCAGAGTTACCCAGGGCTCCTCAATAGTAATGATGATGTTCCTGGACAGGGACAGTGAGAAAGACCCCAGGCCACTTCAGTCTTCATCTAACTCCTCCTTTTACACTGCCAGAGTTTTGACTGACCGAGCCCCTCAGTGGGAGCAGGGGCAGTCAATTGGCCAGTGCCAAGGGTCATGACTGGTGCCTTCACATTGATGGCAGGGGCCCAGTGGGGGCTTAGTATGGTCCTTTGCCCAGTGCCCATCTTTTTTTGCACTTGAAGGAAGACCCTTTGCTAGCATTATCTTTTTAGCCCTTTGTGCTTCCCTTGGATGCTCTTTGGGCATTCAGGGCATCACTAATGATGGCTGCCATAATTCTGGCTTGCGGGGTTTTTTTACTCTGTTCCCCTTTCCCTTCCTCCAGTTCATCATTGCTGTACACCATAAAGGTGGTGTCAAGGAACTGGTTTTGTCTGTGGCCCCATTTGCAGCTTCTGGAGCTTATGTCTAATGTCTGGGGGAGACTGACTAATGAAAGGTTGTGCCATTAATATCTTGCCTTCAGGAGAAGCAGGATCTAAGTTTGTATATATTTTAAAGGCTTCTTCTAGTCTACTATAAAACATGGCTGGATTCTCTTCTTTCCCCTGAGTGATCTCCCTAAACTTATAGTTTACTGTCTTTGTTACCCCTTTTTTCATTCCCCTCAGTGGTGCCTCAAGAAATTTAGTTTGATTATTCATTCTCATGGGGGTATTATATTTCCAGTTGGGTTCAGTAGTACGGACTGTATCTGCTTCTGGTCTGTCTTGCCCTGCAGGCTACATGCAAAATGTTCATCAGTGTCCTGGCGAGCAGCCTCAAAAATTCATTCCTTTTCCAGAGGTATGTAACAGGTGGCCAAAATGAATTGCATGTCTCTCCAAGAAAGGTTGAAAGCCAAAGTCAAAGTCTGGAACCCATCAACAAATTTCTGAGTAACTGCCCAGTTTTTCCTTACATTGTTGGATATCAGTAATTAAGAAGGGGACCTGTACCCTGATGGGACCCTCAGTTCCTGCCACCTCTCTGAGAGGTAGCAGGGCAGGTGGTGTCATTGAATATGGTGTTCCTAAGCTAGTATGGGGAGGGCTCGCTAGGACCCGTGACTCTTGTCCTTCTTTTGAAGCTTTGAGTGGACTTGGACCTGGATTATAGGAAGGTGGCTGTTGTTCACTCTGACACATATATACTCCTTGCAAGAGGGAGTTATCTACAGTATCCAGCTTAGTTTTAGGAGTTTCTTTCTGTGGAGAAGTGTTGGGGGCTTTGAAAATGGTAGGCTTTTAGTACAGGGCCATGAAGGCTTGCACATATGGTATTTCTGACCATTTGCCTTGTCTCTTACAAAATAGATCTAATTGGAGGATGGTGTCATAATTGAGACTCCATTGACTGGCCATTGCTCTTGACTCCCTAGCTGAAATTGAGGCCAAAAGGTGTTACAGTAAAATATTAGGCATTTCTTTCACAGGTTTTCAGGGTCAAACTGATTGCAATGATTGAAGATGCAGCCAAGAGGGGAGTCAGACAGGACTGACGGAGTGTTTCCCATGACTAATCTGTGGAAAAGAAGAAGGGAGTCTCATAGGTTCATGAGTTTACATCTAGAGTCTCCCTTAAGGGTGTCCCCTACTGAAGGATCTGGACTGTAATTTTGGTCCATTGGGGCATCCCCCAAATGGACCTGTCCTCTGAGTGCCAAATGTGTCTAGCCATAGGTGGGCACCAGTGCCATTTGAAGAAGGATCCTGCCATAATTGGTCACCTATGATAAGTTTCCCTTTAGTTCCTGGGTGTAACCTTTGGCTTCTAATATCCCGGTAGCTGGCCAAAAGGGTTTCTTCCCAAATGGTTTCCTTAACTATTTAGTAGTAACTCTACTTTGAAGGGCAAGGAATTGCAGACTGCCTAGTTTAAATTTGTTATTAGAGACTGGCCTCTCAATAACGTAATAGAGTACACTCTAGCAATATGAGATAAACCAGGCACAGCAATTTCCCCATGGATCCACTGCACAATTTATGCAATGATCCAAGAATCTCCACCAGGAGTTTTCTTTTAGCACCAGATGTACTAAACTAAACCAATCTAGATCTGATCCCTCACAGAAGAAGCAGGGTACTCTCATTATCCAGGTGGTTGGCCCTAATCTTCGGGCTGATGCTAACCCTTGGGCTTCCCACAGACAGTTACCTATTGCCCTGGCCCTTTGGGTTTGGGGGATATCTCTAATTGGTCTAAACATGATATCCCAACACAAATGAAGAAAAGAAAAAAAATTAAAACAGACAGCAAGGCCGGGCATGGTGGCTGACCGGGCATGGTAGCTCATACCTGTAAATACCAGCACTTTGGGAGGCCGAGGTGGGCGGATCACCTGAGGTCAGGAGTTCGAGACTAGCCTGGCCAACATGGTGAAACCCTGTCTCTACTAAAAATACAAAAATTAGCCAGGCTTGGTGGCGAGCGTCTGTAATCCCAGCTACTCAGGAGGCTAAGGCAGGAGAATTGCTTGATCCCAGGAGGCAAAGTTTGCAGTGAGCCGAGATTACACCACTGCACTCCAGCCTGGGCGACAGAGTGAGACGCCATCTCAAAAACAAACAAATAAACAAAAAACAAAAAAAACAAGCAGCAAATAATGTAATAATTATAGCCGCACAAACATGCATCTCACTGTTGCAGGGATTGATCTTGTACCTAGTGGGACTTATCTGTTCCATTCCCCAATCAGGTTATCCTGTCACGTTGAGGCAGGAATTTAAAGAAAGAAATAAGTTTTGTACTGCATTTACTCATTCTAAGAATAGTAACAAGCAAGGCTATAGGAAAGTCATGGTGACCTAGTCTAAGAAGCCAGGAATGAGCTCCAAACACCCCCGAGCAATGGTTAAGAAAAACAAATTCCTTTACTGTTTCTCTTTCTTTAGACCATTAATTATGACTATTTTTGCCTGTGTTTAGCAAGATTTGTAGGTTCCTGTTTTTCTTTTGACACAGCTGCAAGGCCACGAGCTAAGCAAAGCCACAAGTTATGCGAAGTCAGCAGTTATGCTATACATTACTAAACCTGTCACTGTATGATTTACTGCCTTGGTTCTGCTTCTGTAGTTTAGCCTATATAAGCCAAGCTCTGTCTTTGTTCAGGGCTCAGCTTTCTGGATGCAAATCCACTGAGCCAGTGCACACCTTAATAAAGTCTTCCTGCTCCACCCATTGGTCTCTCTGATCCTCTGCTTTCCCACAACAATGGGAGTCTTCAAGTGGCCGGTGCCTTTTTGGCTCTTAACTGCCCAATCTGTGCCAGCAAAAGGCAGCTTTAAATCAAAGTGAAAGAGCTGAAGCAAAAAGGAAAGAAAATAAAAAGTCCCAGTTCTTTTGGGCTTACCTACTGGCTGGCTCACCAAAATATGTTACCAGATTGGAAGTTGGGAGTTCCAGGTTCTTGGTGCTGTGAACAAAGAATTGGATGAGACTCACAAATAACCACTCCACAAAATTTATTAAGCAAAGAATGTTCTAGAGAGAGGAACGGGCTGATTTTCAAGTGGTATCAGCCCTGGATTAAAATAGCCTTTGTTCTTTTATGCCCACTTTCTACTCCTCCTTAACTCTAGGGAGGGGATTTCCTATAATTGTCATATCCGTTTTCTTGTTGTTTTTCTCTCTTAGTGCGCCTGCGTGAGTTTGCCATGATTTTAAGTGTATGTACGATATGCATTCCATATGTATGAGCTGGTCAGTCTTCTGACTTCCTTCCCTATTCTGCTGCCTCAGAAGGCCTATTTGGGAGAAAAGTAAACAGTAAAGAATGAAACTCCCTGTGATCGTCTGGGAAATTTTCAGGGGAGAAATGGAATTCTAGGATTTTACTATGTGTTTTCCATCTGGGAGTGGACTATAACAGTTTATTTCAATTTAATTCCACTCACTCACAAATGTTTTGCTGAGTAAAATAGTCTCCGACTCAAGGAATTCACAGTTGGTGGCGGCAGGGAGAGACAGATCAACAAATGATTGTATTTTGATGGATGAATTCCATGGATCTACACAGCGCGTCAGGGAGATACTATTGTGGGACAATTAATTGCATTGGGTGGTTGTCAGGAAAAGTTGCAGAGACAACGTGTTATCTGCGTTTGGGGATTACGTGGTGAGCAGGCGTTCACCTTGCAAGTGAAGACTACTCCGCTGCAGGGTCCGGTACTGGGGCGGCGTTTTCGCCGCATACGCAGTAGGTGATCCAAACCTCCCGCCGACAGGAGGAAGAGGATGCCAGCTCAGGCACTAGCTGAGGTTTGGCATTTGACGGCCGCGGACGCCGACCTCCAGGGGGCGCCGTGGCCTCGCGCTGTCCGGGCCGTTGCATTTCCGGGCACTGGGGCGCCGCCATCTCCAAGCGCGTCCCCGCCGCGAGCCGCGCACCGTCCGCCGCTCCCGTTACCGGGGCAACCGCGGCGCCTCCTCCGTGTCGGCCCGGATCGTCCCTCCGCGCCATTTTCAAACTGCCCTAGCACCGGAGCCCGTGCTTGGGGGGAAGGAGCTAGTGGGGGAAATCGAGGCCCGAGGGCAATGCGGCTGAAGCTGCCGGTGAGTCCGGCCGTGGGAGCGAGGGATCCAGCTGCGGCGGTGGTGGCGCCTTCGCCTTCTGGGCGGTACCCGGGGGCCGGGCTCGGGAGCTGCTGGGAGGTCGCGCGGCCGCGGGAGGAAGTGAGGCCGGGCCGGGTCGGACCGGGTCGGGAGGGGTGCGGGGACTCTTCCCACCCACCCCGCCCCCACACCTCCTTCCTGTCAACACCCGACGGTAAAGTTGCAAACCGGAGATTGGCCGGAGGAGAGCTTGGGCCGACTTGTCACGGAGCGTCAGTGTAGGCCGTGCAGACAGGCTTGCTGTTGACCAATGGTTCGATTTAAACATTAAAATGCCGTCTCAGTGTCACAATCATCCATGCTCTTTGTAACAAAAATGTCCCAAAGCGTAGGACGACAGCCTTTAATTAACCTTCACCCAGCTCCTTTGAAGCCTCTCCACTGCTTTCCAGCCTTTACTACTTTGAGTTCAATACGAAGGGACTCCGAGATAACCACAGCTAACGGGTTTCTGTGTTGTTTGCGGTTTTGTTTTTTTAACCCCTGTGCACACGTATATACAGCATTAAATGTACTGGTTTTCAAACGCCAACCCCCAGATACTTCTACACATATATATATGGGTGACTCCCAAACCGAACCTTTTATGTTGCTTTGTTAGAAACTTAGAGTATAGCCGCCATATTTGGATGGGGGTTACGGGGAAAGGCGGGGAAGGCAACAGTTTATGGGTGGGGATGGCCTAACATGTTTCTGTCTGGGAGGATTTTAATCTGTCCTGTATATTGAGGCCCTGCTCATGATTTATTGATTCGTATTCATTCTCATTCCCTCTCCTCCAAAGCAGGATGTGAGGAGGTATTATCTCTGGGTAACTGGAGTTGGTAGCAAAGAGGGGAAATGTTTTGAGTGGTGCACCCCTTTAAGTTTACACCCTGCTAGCAATACACCTGGATTTGTCAGGTCTATTTCTGATGTCTGCAGGAATTTCCCTAAAAACCCTGCATCACTTAGGTGTCTCTTGTGGAAGGAACCTAGGAAATCCATTAGGAAGCGATTCAAGAAAAGTTAACAAGAGCAAAGAGAAAGATATACAGAAAGGAGTCACCAAGGAGAGTGACTGATTTAGAAATGATTTGGTAAGTTGAGGAAGCATGGTACAGAAACCAGAGTGCTGGACCAGGACTCAGGAGACCTGGTCTCTGATGACTGCCCACCTACTTTGTGGCCCCGTGGTTTTGGAAGAGTTACTTTCTTGAGGCAGCCTTTCCTCATGTTTAAGTAGGGATGTTACCATTGGTCTTTCTCCCTCACAGGGTAGTTGTGAGGATCGGCTTTTACATGTATGCTCATGCATGTAATGCATTTTTAATATATTGTGAAGAACAACAGATGTAAAACAAAATTTTTATTTGCCTTAGAAATGTGAGTACCATGACTGCAGTTAGTTAGCAAAGGTTAGAAAAGAGCAAAGTTTCTAAAGAAATGATCGTTGGGCTGAGCGTATTGGCTCACACCTGTAAACCCAGCACTTTGGGAGGTAGAGGTGAGAGAATACCTTGAGCTCAGGAGTTGGAGACCAGCCTGGGCAACATAGCAAGACCCTCTCTCTAAAAAAGGTAAAAATTAAAATTGAAAAAAAGAAATGATCTTTGGATAACTCCATTTTAGGACAGATTGATAGGAATATATTTATAAATATTTAAAAAGACAAAGATAAGAACTTGAACAGAGGTACTTATGTGTGTCTTTTTTTTAACTGAAGTGAAATTTACATGGTGAAATGCACAGAGCTTAAGTGTACTATTTGAAAAGTACATTCTCTAAATGTATACACTTGTGTAACCACTACCCCAATCAATGTAATATTTTCATTACCCTAAAAAGTTGTCTCTTAACTCTAACAGGCAATCTGCAGCCCGCCTCACCTCCCCAGACATCTGTTTTGATTTCTGACCCCATGGTTTAATTTTACTTGTTCATCAACTGCGTATAAATGGAGTCATACAGTGTATGTCTGGTTTCTTTTGCTCAAATAATGTTTCTGAGATTCATCCATGCTGTTGATGTATATCAGTAGTTTCTTTAATCCCTTAATATTGCATTGTATAAATATATCATAGTTTATGCCTTCTGCTGTTGATGGGGGTTTAGGTTGTTTCCAATTTGGGACTACTATGAGTAAAGCTCCTGTGAACGTTCTTGTAGAGTCTTTTTGTGGATATTTTTTATTTCTATAAATACCTGGGAATAGAATCACGGGGTTATAGTCTAGAAGTATGTTTAACTTTATAAAAAGCTGCCAGACTTTTTCCAAAGTGATTTTACACTCCTGTCAGCAGTATGTGAAGATTCTAGTTGCTCCAGATCTTTGTCAACATTTGCTATTGTCGGTCCTTGTAATTTTAGTCATTTTAGTTTGGGATAAATTGTACCTTGTTGTTTTAATTTGTATTTCCATGTTGACTACTGTTGAGCACCATTTCATATCATTATTCCCATTCAGACACCTATGTGAGGTGTCTGTCTGAGTCTTTAGCGCAACTAAATTTTAGTTTTAGCCCAAATTAATGTTCTTATTGAGATGTTTGTCTTACTATTGAGCTGTAAGCGTTCCTTTTATATTCCCTATACAAATCCTTTGTCAGATATTGTGAATATTTTCTCCCACTCTTTGGTTTGCCTTCTCTATTTTCTTGAGTATTTTGATGAGGAGACATTTTAAATTTTGATGAAGTCCAGTTTATCAAATTTATCTTTTATGTTTAGTGCTTTTAAAGGAGGCCTCTCTAAGAAGTCTCTGCCTACTTCAGGCTTAGGAAAAATCTTTGTTTTCTCCTAGAAGCTTTAGTATTTTAACTTTTACATTTAGTTGTATGACGAAGTATTTATTTTAATGCAGCAACAGGAATATCATAAGCATTGACTTTAAATCTGAATTTTCCAGAAGGCTACCTACCTGAAGAAAAACAAAAAATAATTGCTTCATATTAAAATAATTTTTTCTTCTTATTGTGAAACAACGGTCATAGCTATAAGAAGATAACGATGTTTCATTCTTTTCTCTCAGGACTTTAATTTTTGGAAGTGAATAAAACTTGTTTTGGAAGTACAAGATGACTACAGCTGTAGAAAGAAAGTATATTAATATTAGGAAAAGACTGGATCAGCTGGGATACCGCCAGACTCTGACAGTGGAGTGTTTACCTTTGGTAGAAAAACTTTTCAGGTAAAGACAAAAATACAGTTTTAAACCTAATCCACTTAACTCATTTCTGATTAAACTTCAAGCTTCGGTAAAGAAAAGGGTAGCTTTTCGGAAAGTCTTTCAATCATGAAGCTCATCTGTTTTTTCCCTGCTGTACTGTTCAAAGTCAACATTTCTGAGGGTTTTCTCTGTGAACAGAATTACAGTTTTTTGGGTATATGATATAATTGAGAGACACTTCTCCCTTAAGCTCTTTTTTTTCCCCCTGAAGTTCTTTGTCTGCTTCACTGGTCTTCAAATACAGTCATGGATAGTTTCATGACAGTGACACGTTCTGAGAAACATGTCATTCATTAGGTGATTTTGTCGTTGTACCGACATCATAGGGTGTGCTTACACGAATCTAGATGGTATAGCCTACCACAAACCTAGGCTATATGATCTATATCCTATGGCTCTTAGGCTACAAACCTGGACAGCATGTTACTATACTGAATACTATAGGCAGTTGTAACACAATGGTGCCTATTTGTATATCTGAACATATGTAAACATAGAAAAGGTATTGTATTGTGCTACAGTGTTACAATGACCAGGATCTCATGAGGCAATAGGAATTTTTCAGCTCCCCCCATTATAAATCTTACAGAACTACTCTCCTTTCTATATGTGGTCTGTCATTGACCAAAATGTCATTATGTGGTGCATGACTGTATTTTAAGCCTCTTTAGAAATATGTTTTTAGTTATTAGAAAGTTAATGAAATATTTCCTGGTATTTAAATTTTCTGTTCTTTTAGCGACTTAGTTCATACAACAGAGAGCCTTCGGCAATCAAAATTATCTACTGTGAAAGCTGAAAAAGAAAGTGCCAATTTTGATTTTG